GCCTTCTGCAAGGGTAACACAACACACACACGCCTTCTGCAAGGTAAACACACACACACCGCCTTCTGCAAGGGTAACACACACACACACGCCTTCTGCAAGGTAACACACACACACACACACCTCTGCAAGGTTAACACACACACACGCCCTTACTGCAAGGTAACAACACACACGCCTTCTGCAAGGTAGCACCACACACACGCCTTCTGCAACGGTAACACCCACACACACGCCTTCTGCAAGGTAACACACACACACACACACACCTTCTGCAAGGTAACACACACACACACCTTCTGCAAGGTAACACACACACACACACACACCTTCTGCAAGGTAACACACACACCTTCTGCAAGGTAACACACACACACGCCTTCTGCAAGGTAACACACACACACACACCTTCTGCAAGGTAACACACACACACGCCTTCTGCAAGGTAACACACACACACACACACACACACGCCTTCTGCAAGGTAACACACACACACACACGCCTTCTGCAAGGTAACACACACACACACACACCTTCTGCAAGGTAACACACACACACCTTCTGAAACATACTGGACCATGTTTATTCCCCTTTTCAACATGGATACAAGGTTCTCCCTCGCCCTCCCTTCAGACCACATCTCTCTGCTGCTGCTGCCTGCTTACAAGCAGAAACTCAAACGGGACAGACCGATAACAAGGACAGTACAGCGATGGAGCGAGGAGTCAGATGCAGCACTGCAGGACTGCTCTGCATCTACGGATTGGAGTGTGTTTGAGGACAACAACATCAACACACACACGGACACTGTCATCTGCTACATTGGGAAATGCATCGATGACGTGGTACCGAAGGTTTCTGTACGGCCATTCCCAAATCAAAAGCCCTGGATAAACTCCGATGTGCGCTACAAGCTGAGAGCGCGTACTACCGCGCACAGAGCTGGAGATCTGGAGGAGTACAGGAAGTCTAGGTATGATCTCCGGAGAGCAATCAGCAGCAAAGAGACAGTACAAAGACAAGGTGGAATCTGACTTCAAAGGCTGTAACACCAGGAACATGTGGGCGGGACTAAGGACAATGACTGACTACAAAGGAGCAGCGGGGGGTGCTGCGGGAGTGTCTGCGTGCGCATCTCTCCCAGATGAGCTAAACAGTTTCTTTGCACGCTTTGAGAGCAGCCAGGCTGTGGAGGTACAGAGGGACCAGGAGCTACACTGCCCTTTTGTTTTAAATAGGGCAGATGTGTGTAAATCCTTTAAAAGGGTTAACCCACACAAGGCTCCTGGACCTGATGGCATCCCTGGCCGTGTTCTCAGGGTGTGTGCAGTTCAGCTGGCAGAGGTGTTCACAGCAGAGGTGTTCACAGCAGAGGTGGGACCAAGTCTTTGCACTCAAGTTCAAGTCCCAAGTCCTAAACTTTGAAAACCGAGTCTTAAACAAGTCATTATGTGCTTTTCAACATAACAGTTGCATAAACATAAAATGAAGTAACAGTTTCATTCAGCCACACAATTTGTGTGCTTTTTTTTATTATGAAAAATGATGTGAAGTGTGTGTGTGTTTGTCAGAGTGAGTGAGTGAAAAACACAAGTTATAGATGCATCAATCTCAGGGTCCAAGAGACCAAATAATCATTTGAGTATAATTATGTGTATATAAATATGTAATTTACAACAGCTGTAAGATGCTTGAAAATGCACCTTGAAAATGCTTGAAAAGTGCTTGAATTTGACTTTGGAGAAGGTGTAAGAACCCTGTACACGGCAAAGCTTCGGATGTTCACAACGGAGTACTGCCTTCACTTGCCTGAGTGTGGAGTTCCATCTTGTGGTGACAGCAGCAGGGATGCCTCTTTGTTCCCCAAATTCAGCATCAAACACATCTTTAAAAGTTGTGCTTGCATGCAGCAGTGAGCTGAGCTTAGACAACTTTGCAAGAGAAGAGGTTGTTCCTTTTGTTTCCTTCAATCCGTCTCCCACCACCAGCTGCAGTGTGTGCGCAAAACACTGCAAGCGCTGTTTCTTTGCCATGGCAGCATCTGCCGTTTCCTGATCTTCAAGGGAAAGGTCATGCCATAGCTCTGGGTCATCAACATCATCCTCTTCATCAACATCTTCATCTTCTTGCTCCGTTGGGAAGCACACAGTGAACGCTTTACGCATGTTGGCTCACAGATTCTTTCAGCTGTGTGTGAGCCTTTGAAGCGGTCGCAGGCCAGGAGATTGGATTTCAGCTCTACCCTCTCTTCATCCGTCTCTAAATAGTGTGCACCAAGGAATCCCCTCATCTTTCTGTCAGACCAAATGTAAATTGCCGTTTACATAAGGATGTGACCAGCATCGTTGCCAGGTGCGCTGTGGCTGCCACGCGCGCTGTGGGGGGCGGGGCTGACACACATGAGGTGTGATTTGTGCCAATGAACGAACTCACTGAGCAGACAATCGTGTCGATCGTCGCCTACCATGCCGTGAACTATGCCGTGAGAGAAGTAACGTGACACTCTCGTCGCCACCCCTCTCGTCTGAGAAGCTACGTGACGTCTGCGTCTGAAGTTACTTTACTTTGGTAGTTATCACCAAATAACCCAGTTATGTTGCAGCTACTTAGTTGCTGTTCAAGCTAGACTCTATTTCAATATAGTTTTGGTATTAAAATAATGTTACACCTCTTGTATGCCCTGAATGCAAAAAGAGAGGACTAAAACCACCAGACTCAGGGACAGTTTCAGGACTAAAACCACCAGACTCGGGGACAGTTTCAGGTCTAAAACCACCAGACTCAGGGACAGTTTCAGGTCTAAAACCACCAGACTCGGGGACAGTTTCAGGTCTAAAACCACCAGACTCAGGGACAGTTGCAGGACTAAAACCACCAGACTCAGGGACAGTTTCAGGTCTAAAACCACCAGACTCAGGGACAGTTTCAGGTCTAAAACCACCAGACTCAGGGACAGTTTCAGGTCTAAAACCACCAGACTCAGGGACAGTTTCAGGTCTAAAACCACCAGCCTCAGGGACAGTTTCAGGTCTAAAACCACCAGACTCAGAGACAGTTTCAGGTCTAAAACCACCAGACTCAGGGACAGTTTCAGGTCTAAAACCACCAGACTCAGGGACAGTTTCAGGACTAAAACCACCAGACTCAGGTACAGTTTCAGGTCTAAAACCACCAGACTCAGGGACAGTTGCAGGACTAAAACCACCAGACTCAGGGACAGTTTCAGGACTAAAACCACCAGACTCAGGGACAGTTTCAGGACTAAAACCACCAGACTCAGGGACAGTTTCAGGTCTAAAACCACCAGACTCAGGGACAGTTTCAGGACTAAAACCACCAGACTCAGGGACAGTTTCAGGACTAAAACCACCAGACTCAGGGACAGTTTCAGGACTAAAACCACCAGACTCAGGGACAGTTTCAGGTCTAAAAACCACCAGACTCGGAGACAGTTTCAGGTCTAAAAACCACCAGACTCAGGGACAGTTGCAGGACTAAAACCACCAGACTCAGGGACAGTTTCAGGACTAAAACCAACCAGACTCAGGGACAGCATCAGGACTAAAACCACCAGACTCTGGGACAGTTTCAGGTCTAAAACCACCAGACTCAGAGACAGTTTTCAGGACTAAAACCACCAGACTCAGGGACAGTTTCAGGTCTAAAAACCACCAGACTCAGAGACAGTTTCAGGTCTAAAACCACCAGACTCGGGGACAGTTTCAGGACTAAAACCACCAACTCAGGGACAGTTTCAGGACTAAAACCACCAGACTCAGGGACAGTTTCAGGACTAAAACCACCAGACTCAGAGACAGTTTCAGGACTAAAACCACCAGACTCAGAGACAGTTTCAGGACTAAAAACACCAGACTCAGGGACAGTTTCAGGTCTAAAACCACTAGACTCAGGGACAGTTTCAGGTCTAAAACCACCAGACTCAGGGACAGTTTCAGGTCTAAAACCACCAGACTCAGAGACAGTTTCAGGACTAAAACCACCAGACTCGGGGACAGTTTCAGGTCTAAAACCACCAGACTCAGACAGTTTCAGGACTAAAACCACCAGACTCAGAGACAGTTTCAGGACTAAAACCACCAGACTCAGAGACAGTTTCAGGACTAAAACCACCAGACTCAGACAGTTTCAGGTCTAAAACCACCAGACTCAGAGACAGTTTCAGGACTAAAACCACCAGACTCAGACAGTTTCAGGTCTAAAACCACCAGATTCAGAGACAGTTTCAGGACTAAAACCACCAGACTTGGGGACAGTTTCAGGTCTAAAACCACCAGACTCGGGGACAGTTTCAGGTCTAAAACCACCAGACTCAGAGACAGTTTCAGGTCTAAAACCACCAGACTCAGGGACAGTTTCAGGTCTAAAACCACCAGACTCAGAGACAGTTTCAGGACTAAAACCACCAGACTCAGGGACAGTTTCAGGTCTAAAACCACCAGACTCAGAGACAGTTTCAGGACTAAAACCACCAGACTCAGAGACAGTTTCAGGACTAAAACCACCAGACTCAGAGACAGTTTCAGGACTAAAACCACCAGACTCAGGGACAGTTTCAGGACTAAAACCACCAGACTCAGGGACAGTTTCAGGTCTAAAACCACCAGACTCAGGGACAGTTTCAGGTCTAAAACCACCAGACTCAGAGACAGTTTCAGGTCTAAAACCACCAGACTCAGGGACAGTTTCAGGACTAAAACCACCAGACTCAGGGACAGTTTCAGGACTAAAACCACCAGACTCAGGGACAGTTTCAGGTCTAAAACCACCAGACTCAGGGACAGTTTCAGGTCTAAAACCACCAGACTCAGAGACAGTTTCAGGTCTAAAACCATTATTGTCATACGTACATAACTACACTGTAGCTATGTACGTATGACAATAAAAGCTGAGGTGTGCTTCCTGTATAATAATAAAGGTGACTTCCTGTCTTCAGGTGTGCTTCCTGTATAATAATAAAGGTGACTTCCTGTCTTCAGGTGTGCTTCCTGGAGTCCGTGGATAAGGCCACGCTCTGCTGTCCTCTCTGCAGGAAGAGAGTCTCCTCGTGGGCGAGGCTGCACAGCAGGAAGAACTCCATGGTGGATCAGAAGCTGTGGAGCAGGATCCAGAGCAGCTTCCCCCGTCAGTGTGAGAGACGAATCAGAGGAGAGGAGGAGGAGCCGGGAGGTACACACACACACAGACACACACAGACACACACAGACACACATACAGAAAGAGAGAGACACACACAGAGAGACACACATAGAGACACATACAGAAAGAGACACAGACACCGTAGTACTGTTAGGATACAGCTGTACTTCTTATTTGTGTGTGTGTGTGTGTGTGTGTGTGTGTGTGTGTGTGTGTGTGTGTGTGTGTGTGTGTGTGTGTGTGTGTGTGTGTGTGTGTGTGTGTGTGTGTGTGTGTGTGTGTGTGTGTGTGTGTGTGTGTGTGTGTGTGTGTGGTGTGTGTGGTGTGTGTGTGTGTGTGTGTGTGTGTGTGTGTGTGTGTGTGTGTGTGTGTGTGTGTGTGTGTGTGTGTGTGTGTGTGTGTGTGTGTGTGTGTGTGTGTGTGTTCTCAGTGTTTTTTCCCAGAGTGTGTCTGCCTGGAGAGCTGAAGCAGGAGTACGAGGATCAGGTCTCCAGAGTAAGTTTAACACGTGTGGTTGAGCACACACACAATTACCTTCACTGTTCAACATTTGACGTGTTGTATGTTTCAGCTGACGGAGGAGAAGCTGTTGACGTGTTGTATGTGTCAGCTGACGGAGGAGAAGCTGTTGTTGACGTGTTGACGTGTTTTATGTTTCAGCTGACGGAGGAGAAGCTGTTGACGTGTTGTATGTTTCAGCTGACGGAGGAGAAGCTGTTGACGTGTTGTATGTTTCAGCTGACGGAGGAGAAGCTGTTGACGTGTTGTATGTTTCAGCTGACGGAGGAGAAGCTGTTGTTGACGTGTTTTATGTTTCAGCTGACGGAGGAGAAGCTGTTGTTGACGTGTTGTATGTTTCAGCTGACGGAGGAGAAGCTGTTGTTGACGTGTTTTATGTTTCAGCTGACGGAGGAGAAGCTGTTGTTGACGTGTTGACGTGTTGTATGTTTCAGTTGACTGAGGAGAAGCGGGTGCTGGAGGAGGAGGAGAGCAGGCAGAGTGAGGAGTTGATCAGGCGTCTCCTGCAGGAGGAACAGCTGGAGCTGCAGGAGGAGAGGAAGAGGAGGGAGGAAGACGAGAGGCTGGCTCTGCTGCTCAGCTCTCAGCTGGTCTGTACTCACTGTGTCATACATCACATGTGCTGTATGTTTATAACATGTACTGTATGTTTATAACGTGTCATACGTCACATGTACTGTATGTTTAGAACGTGTCATACGTCACATGTACTGTATGTTTATAACGTGTCATACGTCACATGTACTGTATGTTTAGAACGTGTCATACGTCACATGTACTGTATGTTTATAACGTGTCATACGTCACATGTACTGTATGTTTAGAACGTGTCATACGTCACATGTACTGTATGTTTATAACGTGTCATACGTCACATGTACTGTATGTTTAGAACGTGTCATACATCACATGTGCTGTATGTTTATAACGTGTCATACGTCACATGTACTGTATGTTTATAACGTGTACTGTATGTTTATAACGTGTCATACATCACATGTGCTGTATGTTTATAACGTGTACTGTATGTTTATAACGTGTCATACGTCACATGTACTGTATGTTTATAACGTGTCATACGTCACATGTACTGTATGTTTAGAACGTGTCATACATCACATGTGCTGTATGTTTATAACGTGTACTGTATGTTTATAACGTGTCATACGTCACATGTACTGTATGTTTATAACGTGTCATACGTCACATGTACTGTATGTTTAGAACCATGTGTTTCATTTAATATGTTCTCCTGCAGAACGCTACTCCTGCAGCCAAGAAGAAGAAGAAGGAGGTCAGCGGGGGACAGATGGAGAGGTGAGGGGGGGGTCTTTCCCTGAGTCTGGTGGTTTTAGTCCTGAAACTGTCTCTGAGTCTGGTGGTTTTAGTCCTGAAACTGTCTCTGAGTCTGGTGGTTTTAGTCCTGAAACTGTCTCTGAGTCTGGTGGTTTTAGTCCTGAAACTGTCTCTGAGTCTGGTGGTTTTAGTCCTGAAACTGTCTCTGAGTCTGGTGGTTTTAGTCCTGAAACTGTCTCTGAGTCTGGTGGTTTTAGTCCTGAAACTGTCCCTGAGTCTGGTGGTTTTAGTCCTGAAACTGTCTCTGAGTCTGGTGGTTTTAGTCCTGAAACTGTCCCTGAGTCTGGTGGTTTTAGACCTGAAACTGTCCCTGAGTCTGGTGGTTTTAGTCCTGAAACTGTCTCTGAGTCTGGTGGTTTTAGACCTGAAACTGTCTCCGAGTCTGGTGGTTTTAGTCCTGAAACTGTCCCTGAGTCTGGTGGTTTTAGACCTGAAACTGTCCCTGAGTCTGGTGGTTTTAGACTGGAAACTGTCCCCGAGTCTGGTGGTTTTAGTCCTGAAACTGTCCCTGAGTCTGGTGGTTTTAGTCCTGAAACTGTCCCTGAGTCTGGTGGTTTTAGTCCTGAAACTGTCCCTGAGTCTGGTGGTTTTAGTCCTGAAACTGTCCCTGAGTCTGGTGGTTTTAGTCCTGAAACTGTCCCTGAGTCTGGTGGTTTTAGTCCTGAAACTGTCCCTGAGTCTGGTGGTTTTAGTCCTGAAACTGTCCCTGAGTCTGGTGGTTTTAGACTGGAAACTGTCCCTGATTATGTTGTATCTGTTTCAGGTTCTTGTGTCCTCTCCCTGCTCACAGCAGCTCATCAGACGGCAGCTTCATGTCCAACAAGGTAAACCCGTCTGTCTTCATCTGGCATCAATAATCATATCCATACAGTGTGCACAATTATTAGGCAACTGAATATTTTGACCACATCATAATTTTAAAGCAGTTTTTCCAGCTCCAAGCTATATACACTTCATATCAGGTGATCTGTCTTTGTGTAATGAGGGAGGGTGTGGCCTAAGGAGACCAACACCCTATACTGAGGTGACCATAGTTATTATGCAACGTCTTTTCCTCAGGCATGATGCGTCTCTAGAGATGCGACCGCGTTGCGTCTTTAGAGATGCGACCGCGTTGCGTCTTTAGAGATGCGACCGCGTTGCGTCTTTAGAGATGCGACCGCGTTGCGTCTCTAGAGATGCGACCGCGTTGCGTCTCTAGAGATGCGACCGCGTTGCGTCTCTAGAGATGCGACCGCGTTGCGTCTCTAGAGATGCGACCGCGTTGCGTCTCTAGAGATGCGACCGCGTTGCGTCTCCAGAGACGCGACCGCGTTGCGTCTCTAGAGATGCGACCGCGTTGCGTCTCTAGAGATGCGACCGCGTTGCGTCTCTAGAGATGCGACCGCGTTGCGTCTTTAGAGATGCGACCGCGTTGCGTCTCTAGAGATGCGACCGCGTTGCGTCTCTAGAGATGCGACCGCGTTGCGTCTCTAGAGATGCGACCGCGTTGCGTCTCTAGAGATGCGACCGCGTTGCGTCTCCAGAGACGCGACCGCGTTGCGTCTTTAACGATGCTACGACATCACTGAATTCTAATGAACGTGTCCTCCTTGTCTTCTCCTGCAGGAGAACATCCTCCTCCGCGATGCGGCGTTACAGGAGGAGCGTTTGGAGGGTTTCCTCAGCTCCTCAGAGGAGGAGCAGCGCGAGAGTCGCATCCACGCAGACGCTGGACCTTCATCGTCCAAGAGGAAGATCTCTGAGACGTTGGAGGACGAGGATCTGACGGCCCCAAAGAGAGGCTGTCCCTCCCCCTTCTCCCCCACTGTGGACCTCACCGGGTGGGAGAGCAGACGGCAGCAGCAGGAGGACGACGACCGGAGGCTGGCTAAGGTGCTGCAGAAGGAGCTGGACCAGGAGGAGAGGCAGAGAGCCAGTGACCGACGCAAAGGGTCCGCAGACCCCTACCTGCTGCGGCAGAACAGGGGCAGCACCAAGACCTCCAGCACCAAGACCTCCAGCACCAAGACCTCCAGCAGAGTCAGCCCTGAGACCTCCAGCAGGGGCAGCACCAAGACCTCCAGCAGCCCTGAGACCTCCAGCAGGGGCAGCCCTGAGACCTCCAGCAGCGCCGAGACCCCCAGCTCAAAGACCTCATCCTCCAGGCGCAGTAAGCAGGCCACCCTGATGGAGATGTTCAGCCTGAGCAGCTGAAGGGGGTCCTCAGAGACCTCCTCCCCTGGAGCTTAAACTTGAAGTTTTGGACTTTTTGAAAATCTGTTTTAAATCAAGTTTTTTGCAGACGTGTCACTGCGGGACTCTCATCAGGAGAGTAGACCTGGTCCCTCTGAAACCTGCAGATCTGCTGACTTTCTCTGCTTATATTCAGGTGAAAATCTATGGACATGAAACACCTGGACTCTGAGGACCTGTGTGGACTTTTAAGATGTTCTCTGACATATACAAACACTAATGTAGAGCATGCAGACTGATAATAAATAATTCTCCTGTGTGGTTCAGATCTATTCATCTCGTTTGGGTAACTTGTGTGTTGTTAGCACTTCTTAGCGCGTGGCTCGGGAGGTCATTCATTCTTTTATGATTCGTATGATGTTTTAATGCTTTGTCAAGCACTTTGTGACTAAGTCTGGGAAAAGCGCTTTATAAATACATTTGACTTACTTAAAGTGGACCTATCATGCTATATTTGAATGATATATTGTAGGGCCATACCTATATAAGGTATATTTATACGTTTTCTTTTTCAAAATACCAAACAGATCATGCATTTTAGCCATGCCTCATTTCGCTCTATGTGCTCTCCTCCAGCCTGTCTTTGCATGCGCTGCAGCTGACCACGCCCCCCTGCAAAGGAGGGGGCCGAGTTACGAGCGTTGTGTTGCCATGCTGTTGCCATGCTGTTACCATGCCACGCCAACCTCTCATTCCCCTGATAGGTCAGCTCCTCCGTCCTGACGTCAGGACAGTGTTCAAATCTGGATCAGTTTTTATCAGATCCGGTGCAGCCCCTTTTTTAGAGATTTGGGTATGGAGGAAAATAGAGAGGGTTGTGTTTTCTGACACTTGGTGAGTTCCCTGGAACACCGGGGACACATATTCATGTAGAAAAGACGTACACAAGTGCATTTTGGATGATAGGTCCCCTTTAAGTTTATAGTGGTTTACACCGGAGAGAAATAGCTGTCACACTGAGATAGTGTGGACCAGAACTTTAAAGTCTCCTATCATGCAAAAGTCACTGATGTCTTCTCTACATCACCATGTGTCCCCGGTGTGTCAGGAGACTCTCAAAGTGATGTCTTCTCTACATCACCATGTGTCCCCGGTGTGTCAGGAGACTCTCATAGTGATGTCTTCTCTACATCACCATGTGTCCCCGGTGTGTCAGGAGACTCTCTAAGTGATGTCTTCTCTACATCACCATGTGTCCCCGGTGTGTCAGGAGACTCACTAAGTGATGTCTTCTCTACATCACCATGTGTCCCCGGTGTGTCAGGAGACTCTCAAAGTGATGTCTTCTCTACATCACCATGTGTCCCCGGTGTGTCAGGAGACTCACTAAGTGATGTCTCCTCTACATCACCATGTGTCCCCGGTGTGTCAGGAGACTCACTAAGTGATGTCTTCTCTACATCACCATGTGTCCCCGGTGTGTCAGGAGACTCACTAAGTGATGTCTCCTCTACATCACCATGTGTCCCCGGTGTGTCAGGAGACTCACTAAGTGATGTCTTCTCTACATCACCATGTGTCCCCGGTGTGTCAGGAGACTCACTAAGTGATGTCTTCTCTACATCACCATGTGTCCCCGGTGTGTCAGGAGACTCACTAAGTGATGTCTTCTCTACATCACCATGTGTCCCCGGTGTGTCAGGAGACTCACTAAGTGATGTCTTCTCTACATCACCATGTGTCCCCGGTGTGTCAGGAGACTCTCAAAGTGATGTCTCCTCTACATCACCATGTGTCCCCGGTGTGTCAGGAGACTCTCAAAGTGATGTCTCCTCTACATCACCATGTGTCCCCGGTGTGTCAGGAGACTCACTAAGTGATGTCTTCTCTACATCACCATGTGTCCCCGGTGTGTCAGGAGACTCTCAAAGTGATGTCTCCTCTACATCACCATGTGTCCCCGGTGTGTCAGGAGACTCACTAAGTGATGTCTTCTCTACATCACCATGTGTCCCCGGTGTGTCAGGAGACTCTCAAAGTGATGTCTCCTCTACATCACCATGTGTCCCCGGTGTGTCAGGAGACTCTCAAAGTGATGTCTCCTCTACATCACCATGTGTCCCCGGTGTGTCAGGAGACTCACTAAGTGATGTCTTCTCTACATCACCATGTGTCCCCGGTGTGTCAGGAGACTCTCTAAGTGATGTCTTCTCTACATCACCATGTGTCCCCGGTGTGTCAGGAGACTCTCTAAGTGATGTCTCCTCTACATCACCATGTGTCCCCGGTGTGTCAGGAGACTCTCAAAGTGATGTCTTCTCTACATCACCATGTGTCCCCGGTGTGTCAGGAGACTCACAAAGTGATGTCTCCTCTACATCACCGTGTGTCCCCGGTGTGTCAGGAGACTCACTAAGTGATGTCTTCTCTACATCACCATGTGTCCCCGGTGTGTCAAGAGACTCACTAAGTGATGTCTTCTCTACATCACCATGTGTCCCCGGTGTGTCAGGAGACTCACTAAGTGATGTCTTCTCTACATCACCATGTGTCCCCGGTGTGTCAGGAGACTCACTAAGTGATGTCTTCTCTACATCACCATGTGTCCCCGGTGTGTCAGGAGACTCACTAAGTGATGTCTTCTCTACATCACCATGTGTCCCCGGTGTGTCAGGAGACTCACTAAGTGATGTCTTCTCTACATCACCATGTGTCCCCGGTGTGTCAGGAGACTCTCAAAGTGATGTCTTCTCTACATCACCATGTGTCCCCGGTGTGTCAGGAGACTCTCTAAGTGATGTCTTCTCTACATCACCATGTGTCCCCGGTGTGTCAGGAGACTCTCTAAGTGATGTCTCCTCTACATCACCATGTGTCCCCGGTGTGTCAGGAGACTCTCTAAGTGATGTCTTCTCTACATCACCATGTGTCCCCGGTGTGTCAGGAGACTCTCTAAGTGATGTCTCCTCTACATCACCATGTGTCCCCGGTGTGTCAGGAGACTCTCTAAGTGATGTCTCCTCTACATCACCATGTGTCCCCGGTGTGTCAGGAGACTCTCATAGTGATGTCTTCTCTACATCACCATGTGTCCCCGGTGTGTCAGGAGACTCACTAAGTGATGTCTTCTCTACATCACCATGTGTCCCCGGTGTGTCAGGAGACTCTCTAAGTGATGTCTCCTCTACATCACCATGTGTCCCCGGTGTGTCAGGAGACTCTCAAAGTGATGTCTTCTCTACATCACCATGTGTCCCCGGTGTGTCAGGAGACTCACAAAGTGATGTCTCCTCTACATCACCATGTGTCCCCGGTGTGTCAGGAGACTCACTAAGTGATGTCTTCTCTACATCACCATGTGTCCCCGGTGTGTCAGGAGACTCACTAAGTGATGTCTCCTCTACATCACCATGTGTCCCCGGTGTGTCAGGAGACTCACAAAGTGATGTCTCCTCTACATCACCATGTGTCCCCGGTGTGTCAGGAGACTCTCTAAGTGATGTCTTCTCTACATCACCATGTGTCCCCGGTGTGTCAGGAGACTCTCAAAGTGATGTCTTCTCTACATCACCATGTGTCCCCGGTGTGTCAGGAGACTCACTAAGTGATGTCTTCTCTACATCACCATGTGTCCCCGGTGTGTCAGGAGACTCACTAAGTGATGTCTTCTCTACATCACCATGTGTCCCCGGTGTGTCCCCGGTGTGTCAGGAGACTCACTAAGTGATGTCTTCTCTACATCACCATGTGTCCCCGGTGTGTCAGGAGACTCTCAAAGTGATGTCTTCTCTACATCACCATGTGTCCCCGGTGTGTCAGGAGACTCACTAAGTGATGTCTTCTCTACATCACCATGTGTCCCCCGGTGTGTCAGGAGACTCACTAAGTGATGTCTTCTCTACATCACCATGTGTCCCCGGTGTGTCAGGAGACTCTCTAAGTGATGTCTTCTCTACATCACCATGTGTCCCCGGTGTGTCAGGAGACTCTCTAAGTGATGTCTTCTCTACATCACCATGTGTCCCCGGTGTGTCAGGAGACTCTCAAAGTGATGTCTCCTCTACATCACCATGTGTCCCCGGTGTGTCAGGAGACTCTCAAAGTGATGTCTTCTCTACATCACCATGTGTCCCCGGTGTGTCAGGAGACTCACAAAGTGATGTCTCCTCTACATCACCATGTGTCCCCGGTGTGTCAGGAGACTCTCAAAGTGATGTCTTCTCTACATCACCATGTGTCCCCGGTGTGTCAGGAGACTCACTAAGTGATGTCTTCTCTACATCACCATGTGTCCCCGGTGTGTCAAGAGACTCACTAAGTGATGTCTTCTCTACATCACCATGTGTCCCCGGTGTGTCAGGAGACTCACTAAGTGATGTCTTCTCTACATCACCATGTGTCCCCGGTGTGTCAGGAGACTCACTAAGTGATGTCTTCTCTACATCACCATGTGTCCCCGGTGTGTCAGGAGACTCACTAAGTGATGTCTTCTCTACATCACCATGTGTCCCCGGTGTGTCAGGAGACTCACAAAGTGATGTCTTCTCTACATCACCATGTGTCCCCGGTGTGTCAGGAGACTCACTAAGTGATGTCTTCTCTACATCACCATGTGTCCCCGGTGTGTCAGGAGACTCACTAAGTGATGTCTTCTCTACATCACCATGTGTCCCCGGTGTGTCAGGAGACTCACTAAGTGATGTCTTCTCTACATCACCATGTGTCCCCGGTGTGTCAGGAGACTCTCAAAGTGATGTCTCCTCTACATCACCATGTGTCCCCGGTGTGTCAGGAGACTCTCTAAGTGATGTCTTCTCTACATCACCATGTGTCCCCGGTGTGTCAGGAGACTCTCTAAGTGATGTCTCCTCTACATCACCATGTGTCCCCGGTGTGTCAGGAGACTCTCAAAGTGATGTCTTCTCTACATCACCATGTGTCCCCGGTGTGTCAGGAGACTCTCTAAGTGATGTCTTCTCTACATCACCATGTGTCCCCGGTGTGTCAGGAGACTCTCAAAGTGATGTCTTCTCTACATCACCATGTGTCCCCGGTGTGTCAGGAGACTCACTAAGTGATGTCTTCTCTACATCACCATGTGTCCCCGGTGTGTCAGGAGACTCACTAAGTGATGTCTTCTCTACATCACCATGTGTCCCCGGTGTGTCAGGAGACTCTCTAAGTGATGTCTTCTCTACATCACCATGTGTCCCCGGTGTGTCAGGAGACTCTCAAAGTGATGTCTTCTCTACATCACCATGTGTCCCCGGTGTGTCAGGAGACTCTCTAAGTGATGTCTTCTCTACATCACCATGTGTCCCCGGTGTGTCAG